CTTCAGGCTGCAGGAGGCCCCAGGTCCCTTTCCCGGAGAAGAGCCGGGGCCTGTGGGGCGCAGGCAGACGGTGACGCCCGGAAGAGGCTGAGCGAACAACAGGGACGGTCACAGGCCCTCCAGGAACGTGTTAAGTGACACTAAGTGATGCTAGTGGGTACCTTGTTCCTGGCACGTGGCTCCACGTCCCTTCCAGCCGTGCAGGCCCAGGGCACAGAAATTAGTTGTTAGGCCTGGGAGGATGCATGGACAGAGCAGAATCATAGAATGGTTTGGGTTGGAAGGAACATGGAAAGTCATCTAGTCCCATTCCCCTGCCGTGGGCTGGGAAACCTTCCAATAGATCAGGTTGTCAAAGCCCCATCCAACCTGGCCTTGAACACTTCCAGAGATGAGGCATCCACAGCTTCCCGGGGCAACCTGTGCCAGTGTCTCATCAGCCTCACAGTAAAGAACTTTTTCCTAATGCCTCATCTAAATCTACCCTGCTCTAGTTTAAAACTATTGCTTTGTTAGAGACTGAGATACGGTTGGCTTTAGGGGCTGCCAGCGCTCATTGCTGGCTCAGGTTGAGTGTACCCCAAGTAGATCACAGCGTGGCTGCATAACAAAAGGTTTAAACCGTCAAACTGACTTACTTACATAGCAAAGTACCAGAAATACCAGCCTTACCTGACACACAAAAAACACAGTGTTTGAGTGACGAACACAAGACAAGCGACCAAGGTGCCCAGTGGTATTTTGGAGGCAAATAAAGGATTCAGTTTTGTGCAGGCAAGGTTTCAAAATGCCATGCTCCTTCCGATGTGTCAGTGATGAAGAACTCAAGCCTGCTCCTCCCAAAGCACCTGCCCCTTTCTCCTGGCCGCATAGCCCATGGACCTGGAAATACTCAAATGCTAATCCCAAGCAATCCTGGCCCTTCAGGTTCCCCACCCCCTGTCCTGGGGCAGAGGCAAAACTGCTTTTCTTCCAACATTTTCCACTTCCCTCTCGTATTGCTCAGCCAACATCTGACCCCGCTCAGGCAGTCTGATCCCGCTCACAAATTCCTCTTTGCTAGGAGATGCTCCCTTGGTCCCCTGGAGCAGTTCAGCCACATAGCTTTGCCTCTCACCCATCTCTTGACAGGGCAAACATCATGTCTGATGAGCCACAGTCATATCAGTGATCACTGGCCTTGCAAAAGGCTTCCTTCTCCTCGGGCATCTCTCTGGAAACAACCTTCTCGTGTTTCTGGGTCAGTTTTCCAAATACTTTCAAGTCACAGCCTCTAAGGACTTCAGTTCTCTCTGCACATCAGCCACGATTAAAGTGATTTTTTTCTAATCTTCTCAGGAAAAATGTTGGATATTGTCCCCGAATTAGAAAATTATTTTTGGCTCACAGTAGCAACAGAAACAGCCCGGATTGCTACTTTTTTCCTTCACCAAGCTTTGAAAAGTCCTCTCTGAGTAGTAGAGCATTGCAAAATTCAATCTGGAGAATAAACGGTTTTGAAAATAAAAAGGGATAGGAAAATAGTTGTGTTGTAGTTTTAGTACCAGGGATAATTATGATCTGCTGTTTCTTACCAGATGGATACAAGCTTCTCTAAGAGATAAGGAATGGAAGTAGAAAAGTAATTTTAATTGTCATTATTCATGAGGTCAGTCCCCTCAGGATGGAGGACAGTTGTAGCTTCTGGCATTTGGCCTGTAGCTGTACAGAGATTGATGTTAACGTGGTGTAGCCTGCAAGGGATTGGAGACTGGGATGTGACACTCCAGCACTGACCGACTACCCCCTGTCAGCAAGCTTTTGCTGGCTCAATCTCCAACGCCAGCGTTGCATGTCCTACAGGCCAAAAGATACCTGTAAAAAAAAAACCAGCAACCAAAAGGCACGCACGTACACAGCCACTGTTCTGTTGTACTTGCACTTTCTGTCAGCTCAACCCGGTCAAGTCCCCAGGGGACATGCAGTGAGAGGCCGGCGGACACGCAGACAGACACTTCCTCAGTCTCCATGCCAGGGTGACTGGTGACAAGGGGCAGGAAAGTACAGTGCAACACGGAATATTGCAAAGCACGTCATTTTTTGCTAGGGTGGGCAACAAAGCAAGCCCTGTCGTGAGTAGGACCTCTGAGGCGGTGCAGTTGCAGCACTAAAAACACCAACTGCAGTACGTTTTAGCCAAGGGACAAAAGCCACTTTTAACATCAGCCTGGCATCCGAACCCCATCCCCGCAGGCACCGCCGGTGTAAAGCTGTCACTGAGCAGCCTGCCTTTCGGCTGAAGCCAACAGCTTTACCAGCTTTTGCAGGGCAACAGCGTGTGATGCCAAAAAAACCCAACAGGGAGTAAGCGAGTGCTGCCGCAGTGCCCGTCCTGCAGCCAGAGCAGGCTCTGTTACACCTGCTGCCTGTCTGCTCGCCAGGAGCAGTCTTGTACCCAGGAAGTACCAGGGAAAACACTGTGTTCCTGGGCTGGCTTTTGCTTGGGGATATGGCACATGCCTGCTTCTAACTGCCTTCAGCCTCACACGGAGCCAGCGGCCAGGCGCTATGCACGAGATGGATCTGGGGCTGTGGGGCACAGGCTGGCTTGGAGCAGAAGTGAAAGAGACAGAAATACCAGGTGTTAGCACGCGGAAGGTAGAACTAAAAGCAGGAGGCCGGGCTCTGTGTGCAGGAGAGCCACCCCGCTGCTCGGAAACCAGCGAGAAGAGGGCTGAGCCGCCGGGCAGCCCCCTCAACCACACCACAAAAGCCAGATGGAGCCGGTCAGCAAAGCTTGGCTGACAGGGACAATCCAGCACAGGAAGAGGAAGTGATTCACTTGATATTTGAGCCAGCCTTTGCATTGAAGAAGCAAACAACACATTGGCTCTATCCACAAACCCTCCCCAGGCCAGAAACACAGGTCAGATGCCCCGTAAAGCAGGTTTGCTGGGATTTCTAAGGTATCACTGAAACAGTCTCTGGCAACTTTGAGATGAGCACAAACAGCACACTGCCAGTCTCCTTGGGCATCTATTCCTTGATGCAACTGAACCCAAAGCATGTTCTGGACAGTCATCCCCTTGCCTAGCCTATATCTACGGAGTTTGGCTACATGGATGCTTTAGGAGACCACACTGAAAGCTTTGCTGAAGTGAAGGTTCTCCCCTCATCCACACAGCCAGTCATCTCACCTCACCTCATCTCACCTCATCTCATCTCATCTCATGGTCACTCAAGTTGGTCAGGTGCAAATGTGGCCTTTGTAAATCCCTGCTGGCTGTTCCCTTCTCATTCTTCAGGTGCATGCTCCATCACCTCCCCATGGGCAGAGGTGACATTGGGCAGACTGTAGTTCATCAAGCCCTCCCTCTTCCCCTGCTCAAAGCTGGGTGTGATGTTTGCCTTCTCCCACTCCTCAGAAACTTCCCAGTTGCTACCATCTTCCAAAAAGACCAGAGAGGAGCCTTGCCAGGGCATCAGCCATGTCTCTCAGCACCCTCAGCTGTATTCCACCCGGTCCTATGGGCTCGTGTACACATGCCCTAAGCCAGTCTTCCTCTGTCGCGGGTCACACCACACAGGACCAGGAACCTAGGAGGTTTGAGGTCAAACCTCAGTGATAACATCCAAGTTAAAGAAGGGTTTGAGTACCTCAGCTGCTCTGGATCTGTGCTCACTAAGACCAGAGACCTTGAAGGTCTTACTGACAGCGAAAGCCCTTCTGCAAGAAGTCCCTGACCTGTTGCCAGTGCCTGTAGGCATCGCCTCCTGAGGGTGCTGTGAGTCACCCTTTCTGCTAGAAGGAATTTGCTTCTGTTCCGCCCTGGAAACCTGCTGCACTTAATAAATTCAATCTCAGTAGAATTCTGGTTTCCTTCCTCATTCCAGCTCAGCTCAGCCCCATGGATATGTTGGGACTTCCCGGAGGTGTAAACTTACAGATGATGCAACCTGCAACATCTACCCAGCGCTGCCCAGAGCCTGGATTTCCCATGGGATGAGAAAACCTCATGCGAGAAGATGCCCTGCGTGGGAGGTCTCCAGTACTTTCTGCGGGCTGCTGGCAGCTGCAATAGCTCCTTTCATTTTCATTTTTCTCAGTGCTGGGGTCTGTGCAGCTCCGCCTGTGGCACCAGAAACAGAGGCTCCTGCGGCAGGAGCTTTCGGAAAGAGCCACGGCTGCCCAGGCTGGAGCAGAGTTGCTGCTGACCCCTCCCTCTCTGCTGCAGATGTCTCAAGAATTGTGGCGGCCAAGCCACCCCACTGCCTTGCTCATCCCCAAGGCCCGGGGAGGGCGAGCCCAGGGTGCTGTGTACCTGCTCCTGGCTCTGTGCGCTGCAACACTGTACCTCGCCGGGGAGCCCCTTGTGCCCACCGCTCGCAGCCTCACCTTCCACATCATGGCCCTGCAGATTGGGACGCTGCTCAAGGGCATCTGCTATCTGGCAGAGGAGATCTTCCACCTCCGATCCAGGTGAGCCAGCATGGCGGTGGCAGTCATCCAGGCTCCTGGGACCACCCTGGGGACAAAGGCATAGTAGCATCCAGGTGGTGTGGGGGGATCTGCTTGCTGTCTCTACTCCCACGCATGCCCTCTGTGGCACACGCCGCTCTCCATCAGACTCCCATCTCTCTCATCTCTTCCTCTCTTTCCTCCTCTCCCCCTTTCCTGAATGCCCAGCTCCCCCATATATCTATGGAACTCTCCCTCTCCTCTCCGTGGTAGCTCCCTAAGTGTGCCCTTTCCCTGGGGAACAGATCTCAGCCCTCAGCCTTTCCCCACCACTCAGTGCCAGAGGGCAGGGGGCTCTTGGAGATGGTCTCCCTTTGCTGTCCAGAGGGACATTGCATCTTTTCCCCTCTGAGACCCACGGGTGCTGCAAGAGACCCAAGACATCTCTTAGCCAGGGGCACCTGGGGTGCACTCAGCAGGGTCCCACAGGGCTCCCTGGCTCCATACTGCTCTAGAAGATCAGCAACACTGGCGGAGGGGGGAAGCATCCCTTGGCCAGTGCTGCACCAGCCTGTCTCCTCTCTCCCACCCAGGCACCGGGGCAGTTTCTGGAGGGCTCTGAGCGCCTGCTTCCCCCTGCGCTGGCACGGACCTGTGCTGCTCGTCTGTGGCTCAGCCTACGTGGCTCTTCTCGATGGAGCTGGGCAGCCCCTCGGCCTCCACCTTGGCCTGGCCAGCCTGTGCCAGCTCCTCCACCTCGCCTTGGGGCTCCACGTAAGGCACCAACACCTCTCCACTGTGCCAGCTTCCTGGGGAGTGCTTCAACCCTGAGCAGTCATGAGGGCATGTGGCCCAGCTCTGCTGTGGCCCCTGCACATACAGTGCACCTGCACACAGCCCTGCAGTGGGAGAAGGGCTCTCGTTAGCTCAACCTGGAAGAGCTGATCGCCTCGGCCCCATACTGCCACGTTCCTTTTAATGAGCACAGCCGCCCCAGGGTGCTGGCAGCAGCCCTGCTGCAGCCAGAGCCCCGCTGACACAAAAAAATGGAGGTATTTTTAAATCTGTCAGTCAAGCTGGTGCTTGAAGGGAAAGGGTAGCCTGTGTGGTCTTCAAAGTGTTAATTATCAGGTGTTACGTGGGCAGCAGAGGCAAGCTCCAGGTACCTCTGCAGCATTGAGAGGGCTCTGCTTTACCTCAGCAGAGTCGGAAGGGGAGAGGAGTCACGCAGGCTGCAGAAAGGTGCTTGGGGGAGGGCAGCCGTAAGGTGCCAGTGAAGACTGAACACCCTTTTCCAGCCAAATTAACATACAGAGCTGGCAGGGGCCACTGGCAACTCTGGAAATCCCACCATCGGGTGCTGAGATATCTTCTCCCACATGTTGGAAGCACTGGGCAGTTGCACAAGTTGCACTGGGACACGTGAATCCCAGTGGAGGGTGCAGCCAGAAGTGCCCAGCTCACCCCAGCATCAGCTTCCTCATCTGCAGGGGCCATGTGGGCTCTTGGCCCTGCTGCCTGACGTGGTGGTGGAAGGGGGCAACCGGGCTGCTCACTTTCCAATTCTCTTTGGAGTGGGCAGCTGCTCTGTAATCCCTGTAGAGAACCAGCTGTTGCCCAGGTGGCTGCTTTCATTGCTGCTGGTCTGTCTTTCCTTCCCTCCGCAGAAGCCCTCAGCAGTGGAAATGTCTGAGATGTCTGAGAGGTCCAAGCAGAATGTCGCTCATGGGCTTGCCTGGTCTTATTACATTGGGTACCTAAAAATAGTCCTGCCACGTACGTAGCTGTTTCTCTGCATTATCATGCCTACAGATAGAAATAGCTCCCAATAACAATCCTCCCACTTTACAGTGTTAGCAGGGAAATGGGGAGCAAGGTAGAAAGCAGCTGTACTCATGCCAGGCGACTTTGCCCGATGTTCTCTTCCACCAGGCCTGAAAAAGTCAATGGAGGAAGTCAGCAGAACCAACCCCAACGTGCTGGCACACCCAGAGACCTGGAAGCTCCACATCTTGGTCCCACTGAGCTGTGAGATCTATGATGACCTGGAGAAAGCTGACAGCAATATCCAGTACCTGAGGGACCTCACTGAAACCACCCTGGCCCGAGCTGGCACCAGAAAAAGGGTCTACAAACACAGCCTTTACACAATCAGGGATGAAGACAAGGTATACTGAATGCAGTGTCAGGAGAGCAGTCGATGTGCATCAACTCAAAGGTCTTCCTGGCCTCAGATCCCAGCCCAGAAGTGGCCATAAGGGCAGGACAGTGTCCCCTCTCTTATTAGATGTTCCCAGTTTTCTGCAGCCTTCTGCAAGATGGAGAGGTCCTGTCTGTGCTGACCATCTGCACCCCTTCCTCCTGGCTGGCCCTTCCCAGGCTCAGCCCTTGCAGGGATGTTGGGCTCACGTAACCCCTCCTGGGGTTGATTTAAGTCCAGAAAACTGAGAAAACTAAGCAGAAAAAAAGCAGATGTGTGGTACAGATCATCACTTCCCATGGGACAGATTAATGTTTCCTTTTGCTGTGAACAGGTGCTTGAAAATGTCTGAGTCATTATACAACCCTACTCTCCTCGTTCCCCCAGTCACCTCTTTTCTAGGCTGACAAGCCCTAAATCCCTCCATCTCACATTGTATTCATCTTCCACATCTCCAAGCAGATGGGCCTCTGCCCCTGCACCCACTGGTCCTGCTGACACAGCTATGAATGGAGGGTCAGCAGAGTGATGCTTCTCACCCGCATCCCCCTAATTTGCCCTTTGGTGGTAGCTGAGCTGCTGCTTTTAAAACCCTGGCTGCGGGCACTCTGGTGCCTCTTTCCTGGCCCTGCTACCCGGGAAATTCAGTCAGTGTCGGGTTATTCCCGCTACAACGCAGGCACTGATGCTGTGTTTCCTTCTGAGTCACTCAGCACCAGCTGAGCTCCGGCAGCTCTGCAGCCTGGACCTGTCCTGACCTGCTGCGTGGCGTCAGTAAAATCTGTCCCTCAGCTCGCTGCATGGTCACTGGTGAAGATGTGCGTGGCGGTGATGCCAGCTCCCATCCTTGGCACCTGCTCCGGATCACTGTGGCGACTTCTTGCCAAGGCTGGTAGCTCTTCCTGCTACCCAAGGACCCCGTCCCAATTCCTTCTAATACACTTTACTAAACTTTACAGTTTGCCCAATATAAGACTCACTGGTAACCCTGCTCTTCCTTAGATTCTTTATGTTCTTAACAAATCTCTCCTCATTTGTTTGATCAGTCTCCTTCTATCTGTGAATTCCTTTTGCTAGCATTTATCCTCTTCTCTGTTCTCCTACTCTCCATTAGGATACTCAGACTTTCCCTGGTCTAGCAGAAAAGCCACCGAGAAAGTGTGATCAGACCCGGGAAAGAAGTGTCTCCATAGAAGACCAAACTCCATAGGGAAAATCACACCCCAGGCCACAGCTTGGGAGCTCTGAGAAGGCAACAGTTGCACCCTGGGGCCTCACGGGAGGGAGGCAGCTCCTTGAGCCCACCCAGGTTGCTCAGTCCTCCTACCCCCGTGTCTTTTTTCTTCCATTCCCGCAGCTCTGGCACTGCGCTGTGGAGTATGCGACCCCGCTGCAGTCTCTTTATGCCATGTCTCAGGACGAGTGCGCTGCCTTCAGCCGGGAAGACCGCCTAGAGCAGGCAAAGCTTTTCTATAGGACCTTGGAGGAGATCCTGAAAGGCTCCAAGGAGTGCGCGGGTACCTACCGGCTCATCGCGTACGAGGGTGAGTGAGGAGGGGAGGGGAGGGAAGGGATGCCCAGCACGGTGGCTGTGCTCTTCCGGCCCCTCGAGTGACCTCAGATTAAGGCAAACAAAGGGAAGAAGGCAGGATCTGTGCCATGCTTGGCTGATACTCCCACCCAAATGGCCAGGGGGGTCCCTGCAGTGGTGGGAGGAAGGGGCTGCCTCCCAGCCCCAAAGGATTTCTCGCTGTGGGTCTCAGAGGAGCAGGGAGGATGCTGGCAGAGCTGGTCCCTGTTGAAGTCCCCAAAGGCACCTGAGACAAGCAGTCTCACTGGGGCAGCAAGAATGGTCCTTCAAGGATCAAGTATAACAGTGGGCTTCCAGGGGAAGGAGCAGTTCCCTTCGCTGATGATGTTCCTGGGAGAAACAGGACATGTATATGAACGCGTGTTGGCTCGATGGCATTCCTCCTGACAGGGGAGGAGAAGGAGTGAGGCTTTCCCTTCTTTCAATCTTCCTTTCATTCCCTGTCTCCTTACCTCCACCAGAGCAGCAGGGCTGGAAAACGGTTTGCTGCTTCTTGCTGAAATGAATCTTGTTTTTCAGAGGAAATTCAGTGCTCTCCCTGATGGGGAGAATCACTTCTGTCCAGCAAGGTACTTCCCATTACACCACTGGGAATCCAGCACATAGTGCCTGTATTTTACTCTCCTCTTGCACTTCGTGTTTTTCTTTCTTTCTTCTGGTGTGCTGGAAAGGGGAAGTAAAAATCATATTTTGGCTTCTCAGGAAATTCTGCATGTTTTGAGGCATCACCCAGAGACTCTGCTCCAGACCTTTGCCTCAGGCCAGGCCAGTGAAAGCGGGTTTTGTCTTTCTTCTGTTCCAGAGTCGGGAGAAGCAGAGACCCACTTCTTGTCCAGAGAGATCCTCCGGCACCTCCAGCAGCAGTGTCACGAAGAGTACGCTGTCTATGAGGGGAACCACCCACACGCCTCATTCACGACCATCAACTCGACTGAGCTCAACCTCCAGATCAGTGAGTCGGACCTGCCGCAGCCTCTGCGAAGCGACTGTTTCTAATTCACCACCGCTGCCCAGCCCCTCACCAGCACTGCGGGGCTCCAACCCCCTTCCCCAAGCCCCTTCCTCCCCTGGCAAGTGCTGCGCAGGGCAGCGAGCCCCAGCCTCCTGCAGGAACTACCCCCCACAACCTCCTATGCGTGATGTTTACTGGAAACAGCTCAGTCAAGCCACAGTCCCGTGATGTGCTTCCCTTTTTCTTTGTTATGTATCTCATATGCGAGTGGGGTGGTTTTTTTAATCTGCTTTGTTTTGTGTCGTATAAAGCTTTTTTCCTCCAGGGCAAGTTGCATTACCCTGAATCTTGGGCACAATGTGCAGTCAGCCTTTGGACATACCTGTGGTGGTGGATGGAGCTTTGGAAATCCCAGCCAGGAGTGTCTGTGTGCGTGTTTTTGTGCGCGCTGGGTCCAACACATCCCACCAGCGTGACCTGACTGATCTGATGGCTTCTGCAGGCACAGGGAGTATTTGCAGGGCTTCCAGGGTACACTCCAGCCTGATGGACCCCCTGTGCAGTCACACACGAACATCCTCATTTTCCGCTCACTCGGGATGTGGAGGTGGAAGAAGAGGTCAGGCCTGAAGAACTCTGACATTCAGGGGTCTCACAGTGCAGGAAACCTCCCTGCCTTTGCTAAATCCACTAATCTCATGCTGAGAGCCATCTGCAGTGCCTCCTGATGCTCACAGTCCTCTGCAGTGCCTCCTGATGCCCACAGTCCTCTGAAGCACTCTGCAGGAGTGTTTCTCCAGCCTCAAAGGACATGGCAGAGCTCTAGGAAAGGGGCAAGGTGCAGTTCTGGGGTAACCTGCATGGGTTTTTTTCATGCAAGACATCACACATTGGGCTGCTCAACCTGGGGGTGAGGTACCCCCAACAAGCTCAGCAAGCCAGGCCTCCCACAACAACTCAAGTCCCTTGTGGTCAGATAGAAGCAGGACTGGACATGCTCGGCGTGGCTCTGAGATAGATGATTTCTTGGGTCTGCCCATCTACGTGCTCCTCCAGGATCTGCCTGGAGATGCCAAGGCTGAAAAAGAGGCTGTTCCCGGGCCAGCCCCAAGGCCTGGGCACCCCACATAAGGCCACACTCAGCTTGCAAGGGGATGGAGCCTGCTCGTGAGGGACTGCGAGGGCCAAGGAAGCAGCTCCAGTGGGCAAGGGGGCACAGCGGCACATGCTGCCAGGAGCCCGGTTTAAGAGCAACCTGCCTGCATTCCCTCCAAGGGCAGCTCAAAAGGGCTCCAACATGACAGCGCTGCTTCAGCCTTGCTCATTCCACAGAGAGCTTCTCGGGCTCACCTCAGAAGCGTGGCCATACCACCCAGTATCCCCCTCCAAGTGGAAGGAGAAAAACCTGGGCGTACTGCTTTGAACAGCTGGATGAAAGCTTAGGTCACCGCAATCCCTGGAAACCCTCACCCCGCAGTCAGCTACCGGGGCCACCAGCGGCTCAGCCACACTCTGCCTGCAGAGCCAAGTGCTTCACAGCCACTCAAGGAGACCTGACAGCAGTTAAGCCCAGCTGGCACGTCGAGGCAAAGAGAGCATATAGCCCAGCTTCTTAATCACTTTCTGAAGCCTCTGAGATTCAAAACGGCCCCTAGGACTTGTTCAGGCTTCCACGCAATAAGTAGCCCAGGGCCAGGGAGCACCTGGAAGTCCTTCCCCTCACACAGTGCCGATGGTGCAAGGCTCCAGGGATGCCTGTGAGCCCTGCAGGACAGTGTTTGCTGGCCCTCACGGGCTGGTACCACTCTCCTGGCCTGGAAGTGCACTCTGTGCCGAGACCTTCTGCCCGCAGCATGACCCCAAGTAAAGAGGGATCGGCTGCAGCTTATTCCCCTCTCAGCTAAAGCCATTCATGAAACGGCTCCAGTTCCATCCGTCTCTCCCGAGATTTTTTTCCCCAGGATAAAACTGCTCTTACCTGGCAGCTGCCCCTCAGCAAAGCACCCCAGGCAAATATCAGGGCTCTGTCTTTCATGCATATGGGAGAGCATGGTAGGAGATGCCTTTCCCCAGCTCCAGCCCAGCAAACTTTCGGAGGATATTTAGCTGCCCGTTGGTCCTGCTGGGACTGGGAATTGGAACCCATTTCCGGATTCAGTAAAACCTTAATCTGCAGCCTAATCTCTGGGTACTGCATCTGTGCAAAAGACAAAAACGGCAGATGAGGGGGCTGTTAAGGGAGGGTTGGTGACAGCAAAGGCCACTGTAAAGAGCCAGCTCCTCTCAGTGCCAAGGATCTTTGCCGAGGCCTCTAGGATGTGCCAAGTGCCTGGTGCTGCACTGGCCAGGGAGGGAGAAGGGAGAGCTCTGCTGCTCCAGGTGAGCGACCTCCTGCTCATAGCAGGAGATGTGTGGCCCTGGGTGCAGGGAGCAGAGGGCTGCACCCAAGGGGTCCAGCCCTGGGGCATGGGCAGGTGGATCTGGGTCCTGATCACCCACTCCCTGTTTCAGAACAGCGTCCCCAAGGGCAGAGAGCAAGCGCTGTGGGCACCTGCTTGAAATTCGAGGTAAATGCATCTCATTAGGGCTGAGCTCAGCAACACGGGAGCAAGTAGAAGCAGCTGTGCCAGCAGCAAAGCCAGCACAGCCGCACACCTGTGGTCCCTGGGGGTTTGCGCCTTCAAATCTACCGGGGATCCTCGTGGAGCACACCATGCCAGACCCAGCACGTTGTATGATTCTATGGTCTTATATCCCTGTAATTACTAAAGAGCAGGTCAGTTTGGCTGATATCTGTGCAGGTCATCGTGCATGTTGACGTTTTACAACCGGCTTGTGCAGCAGTGGTCACCTCATGAGGCTGAAATGAAACAAGTTATTGGCAAGCCCGTGTGCATGCCAGCCAGCCGAGGAGGGCAGAGCGCTTCCATGGAGAGAAAAGCACACGTCGGCTTCTGCAGAAGGGTGCCCGTGTGGCTGGCGAGGGGTACACCTTTCATCGAGGATACGGCTACAGGGGGTGCGCAGCAGTGACTGCTCAATGGTGCTGTGCTGCCCTCAAGTGTTGCCTTTCAGCAATAGCCACATCTTCAAAGCCAAGCTGTGCCGAATTGCACTTCCCAAGTTCTGCGGTTGAGCTCCAAGAAAGGCCCTTCCCATCATATAATTTTTTTTTTTACCTTTCCTGTACTATAAATCGTGCTTGAAAACTGGTCTCGTCTGAAGAGGCTGAGGAAAATGGCAGGTTCACTAAGTTTAAGTTTTTTCACTAAGTTTAAGTTTTTTCACTAAGTTTTTTCACTAGGTTTAAGTCTGGTATCCTGCAAAGTGACAGGAACAGCGTCTCAGCTGACAGCGATGGTTGGATTCTCACATCTCTTAGACTTAAACCGGTTATTAACTAAGTGCCTCTGCCCTGTGCTCCAGCTGCTACTGACTCCACAGTCCCTTTCATTTCCTTTTCCCAGCAGCTCAGTGGGAGCAGTAGAATATATATGGGGGAACAAGTATAAATTGAAATTGAAAGCCTGTTTCCCAGACTGAAAGCACTGCTGTTCGTGTTTCGCTGGTGCCTTCTGTTTTGGATGGAGCGTGGTCCCCAGCACGACTGGGCGGTAGAGAGTTCTCACAGAAAGGTGAACAGGCAAAGAGGTGAAAAAACAACTTAAAGCCCTCGGTAGGGTTATTTCTGGGTGCCGGTCTGGGGTCATGGGTGGCTCAGGGGACCACAGAGTGCCTCTTGGGGCAGCTTCTGGCTAGCAGACAGAGAACTGCCAGCTCTAGCCTTTGGATAGTAACTTCAAAGCGTTCATTTTAGGGGTTCATCTGTGTTTTTTCCTAAAAATTCTAAAGCAGTGATGTCCTGCCATCTCTCACAGACTGAGGATGGACACTGCTCCGAGGAGGGAGCAGCAGAAGGCAAGAAACATCCACTTAGGTGGATTTTGGGCCTCCAAACCCCCTAGCTAGGAAGGCTTTGGACTCTGAAACACTGATTTACGGAGATCTTGGTGTCCGGAACGCTGATTTAGGGAGGTTTTGGTCAGGTTGGACAGGGCTCTGAGACACCTAATCCAGTTGAAAATGTCCCTGCTCACTGTAGTGGGGCTGGATGACCTTTAAACGTCCCCCCTCCAAACTCAAAAATTGCGTGATGGTAGGTAAAAGCCACCGGGACTTCTCCCC